CCAGTATCAAGACCAAATAGACCAGATCATCCTCCTGCTGCAGCACGTCGACAGCCTCCACCTCTCCAGCATCTCCAAGGACGGCGACCTGGTGGCCGACTTCCAGGTTATTGAGGGTGAGCTAGGCGTCGTGCAGACCTCGGGTTCCTTCGACTCGGCCCAGTTCGAGCAAGAACTTGTGGAATACGGGGCGCACATGCCGCACACCACCGGCATGCTGCGCAGACTCACGTCGGAAGGAGTATTTGAAGGAAGCGGCGACCAAGAGTTGGAGACGGCTGCGCAAATGGTCCTGGAGTGGCAGTCGGCGACTGGGCAGGAGATTCAGGGAGTCAGCGCTGATTATCACCAATAGCTATCCTGATTTTGGCATGCGAGGGATTTGCGGCGTTTACTGCCCAGTGATGATTGCCTTCCGGGTTCGTTCTGTTCATGGAGCAATCAACATGAACTGCTCCTACATGGGTAACTTTGGATTGGTCGTGGATAGGAGATGAATGTTGATGCTTTCCTTCTTTACAATCTGTATGGCTCCCCTGTTGCCCTTGTGGTGCGATCGCCTACTTTCGACCTTCCCATGGAGGGCACTAATCTCCTAGATGGCCAAGTAAGAACGTCAGAGATGTCGATTAGCGCCTTCACAGATTGTAGCACGGCCAGATCCTAGCTGATTTTAGGTCGAATTGGTTGTGGTGGCAGCTAGTTGTCGTGGTGGGAGAGCGGAGAGGTTGTGGCTGCTTGGGCTCTCGATGTGATAACGGCGTTACTTTACACCTCGTACTCGTTATGTTCCGGTCTAAAGTGCGTCTAAACCGGCTCCGGCCATAACAGCCATCGTCCGCCTCGATGTTTCCTTGCCACGCTGCAAACGAACTCGTGTCATCAATAGGTGGCTTAGTTCCCTTACCGCTGCCTTGACCGCCTGACCTGGAAATTTTCACGGTAAGCTCTTAAAGGAATAAAGCTGAAAAGTTTAACAAAGTGTGATTCGCGCCAGTGAGGGCGGGATGGCTGCTCAAGCCGTCCTGGCCAGCGACCCATAGGTTCAAAGTAGGCTAGGAGTTCTGGGTGCGAAGGACGCTTTCTCGTGAAGTATCCGCAAACAGGTCGCGCGCCGTCATAACGCCATCGTGGAGTCGCTATCTATTTCAAAAGTACAAGTTTCTACTCAAGGCCAAGCTGCATCGCATTTCCAGTCATGAGAACATGAATGTCACGAGCCCACCGTTGTCCCCAAGTACTCTACGCCCTCCACCCGAATCGGGTGGACGGTATAGAAAGAAAAGGAAAAGGCAAAGGACGGTTGAAGCACAAGGCTATCGGTTAACGCTGCCTTAACCTTTTCACGTGACAGAAAGAGGGGAAGCTATAACAGTTCATCTCACCCGAATCGGCTGAGAGAGAACTCTTCCTTTTTCTCAAGCGTTGAGTCGTCGTCAATAGGACTACGTGAATAGAATAAGGCATTCAGCTACTCTAATTCTTTATACCTACTGCGTTGCGTAGGTCCCTGATAATGAATATATATCTTACCAATTAGCATAAACTTCGCTGAGGATCCTGGTCTCAAGATGAACGGCATATCGGAGCCTCGTAGGCGAGCGACACGATCTCTGACGCAGGTCGCTCCAGGCACTACACAAAAATCTTTCTGCTGCGTCAACGCAAGTCGACGGCCAACCGCAGTTTTGAAATAAGCCACCATGAACATGTTTTTGAAGCAGAGGCGATTCCTGAAATCATTTTTAGTGTTTGACATTTCTGAATGTAGCTCTCGAAGCAGGCCCGTTTCGCCCAATGCTTGCGCTAGTGAGAGTCTCATTCGGAGCGCTGAAAGTTGGATTTTATTTTATTATATTATTTTTTTAACTTTTCGAGAGAATGTTCCTCGAAGACGGGGGGGACAACCTGATGAAATTCCTCTGGACTTTCAGAATGCTCGAGCTTCTCCTGATAACCTTGAGCGAAAAGTTGGTAAGTATTTTCGAATTCCGGGTCGATGGATTCTTCAAACCAATCTAATGGGAGGCCAGCAACTATGGCAGTGTTGACAGGATCTAATTTAGTTTTGCCCGCAAGGAGAGTTTTCCAGAGAGCTGCCCTGCGAGGCTTATCCGACGAGGAGGAGGTACTGGGCAGTTTTTCGAGCAGATGAAACCATTCTGAAAATTCTGGATGATGGCCGGGAGCTTTCCGTCTCGTCTACTATAAGAAGCTTGCTGTGACGGCAAGCAGAGAATCAAGACTATTGATAGAATCTAGACAGAGTCAGGACCTCTAACACTACGAATTAAGGCACCTAGACCTACCGAATATCGCCTCCCTAGAATCGCGGAGGCCGTCGAAATGTCCGGATGTCTGGTCATTAGTGACGCTCCAGCTTCGGCTTGTGTGAAGGCCTTCCTGGTACAGATTTAAGTTCGGAAAGACCAAAGTCAGGTTCCCACGAGGATCAGTTGCTGTCGCTTGATTTCGAGCCAGCAAGTGACAGAATTGACAGCGAAGCTCTCCTTTTTGCATCAATCTGGTTATTCCGATGCAGAGATCACGGATAGAAGTCTGATATGCTGGCTGAAACTCATCCTCAGAGTTGTGTTGAGGGCAAGTATAAGATGCGTAGAAGTGTCATCGGACCTAGCACTCTGTCTTCTGCACGTGTGAACTCGAACTGTTGACTGCGAATGAGCAGCTCCTCGAGGCATGCGAACGCTAGTTGATGATCCTGAATGGAGCCATAGCGCTTTCTCAAGCATGCTTGTGCCTGCTCATTGTGATATCCTCCATTCCTTACTTCATCACGGTAGAGAATGTTTTGCCGAGTGTTGCCATGCTTTTGAGGCTTTCAGAATACACGTTTCTGGCTTTCCCCTTCCCGTGTCAGCTTCCTGCACGAAGAGACTCTTACCGAGAATCATCGCACAGAACCAAATTCCTGTAAGGTCAAATCCGTACCAGCCGTAGAAAATTTTGCATCGTCTGGCAAGGGGTACCTCCTGAATAACGCAACCCCTTCGAAACCACGTTCGCGAAAAGGGGTGAAAGAGGATTATTGACCGTGTCTGTGGCCGCTAGGTATGTTAGGATTGGGTCGAAGTCACTAGCTGCAACCTGATCTGAATATGTGCCTTCATAACCTTCACGTTCTTGAAACCTCAGATGATATCGTCCTGAAGCCGCAGAAGCTGTGGTATTGTCCTCAGCAAACACCAAGGGAGACATGACTTCTCTGGCCCCCACCTAAATACAGCCCATGATGGCGACCTGGGAGGGTCGCTCGTTGCAGTCTTGTTGATAGATGCAGACTGGTATACTGTAGGCGAAAGGGGCGAGCCAGATTAAGTTGATGGGTTGCATATAGCGCTCTATGGTCGCCGTCATTTTAGCCTCCATGGTATTGAGAACTCTACTCCGACCCTCTAGGATAGTATCAGGGACCTACGCAATGCAGTAGGTACACAGAATTAGGGTAGCTGAATGCTTTGTTCTATATTACGTAGTCCTATTGACAACGACTCAACGCTTAAGAAAAAGAAGAGTTCTCACCCGAATCGGGTGAGGGGTATAGGAAGATGTTGACAGGGTTGCAAGATAGCCACTGTGGCAAACCACCTGAGACGCTAGCTGTCACACCAATTGCGGCACTTACCTCAACATCGTTGTTCCAACCGACCTGTAACAGCATGGCGACGGAATAGGAGGTTTCAGGAATGCTCTTGTGGTTACAGGCCAATGTACATATAAACAGGCAGAGTCTCTCTGAATAGCCAGGAAAAAAGGACACAATCAACCAGACAGGTCCACAACTCAACCTCTCGTACAACAATGCGGATAGTGATAAATCACAAGGCTTTCTGTACAAAATGGCGAAAGTGAGGTCAAGTACCGGCAATAAGGTTCAGGAGAGATGATAGGAATTATTTCCTAACGAGGTATAAAGATTTGTGCAGTGGGGACACACGAATCCCTGTACCACTTACGTAGTGAATAGTCGAAGTTGGTGTCCCGTGAAAATGGTGCCGAATGCGATGTCCGGAACCGTCCCGTCTGTTTGCCATGGGCTGGCTGAACCCCGTCATCTGCATGTCTCTCAGCTGAAAGTCTGAAGCTACATTCTAAAGGCTCGTATAGTGCGTGATCCAGTTCCAAGTCCCTCTAGCTGTATGACATTGTTCTGAAGATCGGTAAGACAAGACGTGTCGCACCAACAGAAAGACAATGTAATAACTAAGCGTAATGGAAAAGTTACCAGCGTGAATTTGCAAGAGGAAGTCGTGTGACATCACAGACACAAGGCTGGCTGGATCGAGCGAACCCGTATGCTGCGCGACAGGCCTGCTCGAGCTGAAAGTAAGATCTCAGGAGTCTGGCAGATATTTCCTACAATGCATGATGCAACAAGTCAGTTAGCTCTCGAGACAGGGGGGCTTCAAGTAGACATGGCGCTGGCCAGACCGGGCCGTACATTTTGTGGAAAGGCATTGCGGCATCTAGATTCGGTAGAGGTGAACACCTATCTTGGCATGTCGGAGAAATGAGCGGACTAGTTACACCCATGTGCACAACCACTGCGGTGTGTTGGGTTAACCATATCGGCCAGGACGCAAGGTACCCAAAGCGTCTATTTTCACTTGTTGACGGTCCGGCCAGTCGCGTACAGCATCATTTCTAATCAATGATCCCATAGCGAATGACCGTTTGCGTTGTCTCCCGAGGACGCCCGCGACATACAAGAGAGATGAAGCCTGACTAGCCGCATGCTGATAAAACGAGTCCGAAGGCCAGCACAATAACGGTGAGTTGGGGAGCTGCAGCACACACCACCGTCTCAAGCAAGCCCAATTTTTCAAGATCCACACCGCCAGCGCAGAGGATACACATTCTGTGGCTGGCTGAATGGCAGTCGTATGGTTATAAATGTAGTGTTGTCCTTTGCGTTTTCTGACACTTTGTAAAATCTACCAAAATTTCAGGATTGATCGCATTGACCCAGAATCATCATCATGGGAATATACGTTGTCAAAAAAGGCGACACCGGCGAGTCAATCGCTAAATCTCAAACTCCTCCGCTCTCTCTACCGCAAATCTTTGCAGCAAATCCTGGAGTCAACTGGGACAATCTTCCTGTTGGTTATCACATCCATGTCCCTGGCTACAAGACAACACAATACGTGATCGTCCCCGGCGATAGTGGCCTGGCTATTGCAGGTCGATTAGGTATCGGATTTGCGCAGCTGGAGAATCTTAACCCCGGCACCAAATGGACAACCTTGGAGGTTGGGAAAACAATCACCATCCCGTCATTTGAATCTGATCGTGCTCCTCTTCTCAAGGATTGCGTTGGAGCACCTATTTCGGGAGTACCTGCCCAAATGCCGGCACCCGTGGAGTCTGTAGGAAAAGCCATGAGCGAAGCAATTCAGAAGAAAGTGACGACTTTGATCGGCGGATCCGAGGACAATGTTGCTAATGCCATCAAAAAGGTGGTTGGCTTGGACTGGGTGGGCTGCTTCTTCCATATTTATCGAAACGCCAAAGGCCTGACTCCAGGTGGTGCTCCATCCACCGTGATCGCTATTGTGGATCTTAGAGATCCTAAAAACCGTAAGCCGAATAATTAGTCCATCCGCGTCGAGGACGGTTGCTGACTGGGTTGAAAAGAGCGTGACACTGATGTGGTGCCATGGAAGATTCCCGCATCGTTATCCTTGCCATGCGCTGAAGGCAAAAGTAATGCCACAGTGTTCAATGATGCATCCAAGGGCAAGGACCTCGCGGTACTATTCTCAAGTTGGAAACAACTCAGACAAGTTATCTTCGTCGACACTCACGGCCACGGCCGTGCGCCCGAGATTGCAACCCGCTACGCACAATGGATTGGTACGGCCAACCGCGCTGGAGTAGATCCAGAACCACAGATATTTTTCGTGGCAGGCGGATTGGCTTCATATTGCAATGCACAATGCTTCGGAAGAGTACTTTTGAATACGCCGAATCCATATGGTAGGTTACGTCCCCTTCTAGTCGAATGTCTATGTGAATGACAAGTCGTCCAGTGACTGGTTGGCCAAAATCTTTGTAGTCAATACACTTCATAGTGCTGAATCTATCGTTGGACTACCATACAATCGTATCCGAACTGTAGAGTCTCAACAGTAGACCTCGGATTTACCAAAGTGAAATCCAATATCACTCGTGGCACTATGTCAAGCTATTGCCCATTGACAATGTGAAGCGGTAACGCGAGCTTGTACCATGGCGCACGTGCAGATTGTCATATCTCTGCAGCGCGTCATTTAGCTAAAGAACACAGTTTCTTGCTTTGTTGTTTTTCCATCTGGGGTATTAATTGAAACATGGTTGAAGCTTCTGCGGGACGTCCAGGGGCACTACACCTGGCACATTTTCATACCATACCACATTCGGCTAAAACGAGGGTTCCACATGATTTGTACGGCGATCACTGTAATACAAGGAACAAGGATGGATATATCTTCTTGATTGTGTCTTGTCCCTCTGTCTATTCAAAGAGACTCTGCCTGTTTATATACGCTTGGGCCTGTGTTCTGAAGGCCGCAATCAAAACGTTCACGTCGACGTCATTCTGTTCCAAATCCGCGTGATCAACGAGGTTGATATAAGTGGCGCTAATGGTCAAACCCGGCGCTGTTTCACACACTCTCTCCGAGGCATCTGGTTATTCTGCGCCAAAAAAGCCACCCAAAAGGCCGCAGAACATCTACATTGGCTGCCTCGACTACAACTTGAACATGTGTGTACAGACCGGGACGGTTTTTACGAGTTCCATGCAAGGTTATATGAGAAACACGTATAATTGTACATGTAATAGCTAAAGTTGTTCCCATTGCGCAATGATTTTGCACGTGCCAGGAAATCGCGATGCCATACCGGCTGCGTGGGAGGCTCGGAGGTAACGACGGCCTAAAGAAAGGCTGGGTGGCACCCAAAGTTGTGCTCATACCGTGAAGAACTGACAACTTGCTGAGATGATAATAGTGCCCCAAAAAGTATCGGCCGCAAGGGTTCTTCAGGCTTCACACTATTAACTAGTTAGTGTGACTAATCTGTAGCACTCCCCGCTCCCCAGACAAGTCTAGACCAACCTTCCCCGCTCTAAGCCATGCTTCATAAACGAGCGCTTTGCTTGAGTCCAAGGATTCTTCTGTCAATTGCGTCCGGCAATGTGCATTTCGCGTCTTCGGATTTTATCACCCCGTGACTCAAGTACTACCCTCCTTTGGACATTCAATGAACTCGAAGAGACCTGCGCCGACAACAAAAGCATGCGACGGGTGTCGCCGCAGAAAGCTAAGAGTGAATGATATACAATCACCAGCTTTCTTCAGATCCTAACAAATCTGTCTCTGGCAGTGTGTACAAGAAGATTCAAACCTGTCGGAGTCAGGTAGTTTGAATTGCGTCCACTGCATACGGATCAATGTCCCATGTACCTTCAATCTAAGCCGTCGAAAAGGGGGGCCCAAAACCGGAAAGTGAGAATTTCGTTGATTGCGTACCAATTCCTTCTATGTTTGCTGACGAATCGGGAGCAGACGAATACGTGCTCTTCAAGCTGAACAGCAGCTTTCAACTTTTCCGGTTGACTTGTGTTCAGCGGTCGCAGATAACTCTGACTACAATGGCGCTTTTTTCTCAAATCTCCACTTGAACAGCATGAATCTGTCGCTTTCTCTTCCGGATGAACCCTCATCCGGCGACTCGACGATGTCACAGGCCTTCAGAGATACTGGAGGATACACAGATGCAGGCTTCTGCAGCGACGATTTCGCCGGAATACAATTTGAGGATTATCAAGCATTAACGCTGCCATCTGTTCCAGGGCTCTTTCCCGGGAATATGTGTAGCAAAACACTGCTTCGGATGCCTGAGTGTGCATATTCAGATGAGCACTATCGTCCGTTGCCAGATGATGACTCTTTGCTTTCTACGGAAAAACTCCTGGACGAGATAGCGTTCTTCACTGACGAAGCATATGAATGCTATCCTATTCTGCACCTGCACAGCCTGATCAAAAATATTGAGGAAGGAAAACATCTTTCCGACGCCGAGTTTCGTACACTTGCCCTTTCAGTCGTCACGCTGAACGAAGCTCGCAGGTTTCGCCGCATTCCACAACATGGTACTGCCCGTCTGGACTCTCTTCTTGGGACGGTGCATAATCTCCGGCAGAAATCCAATCACGATTACCTTGCCGACCCGCCGTCGCTCGATACGGTAACGGTGTCTTGGTGTCTTTTCATGGCGCACATCTTTCGAGGAAATATCTACAAAGCCTTCGCATATCTGACCGAAGCGATAGGCTTTCTAGACCTTATCGACTACCCTTCAGATCACCTTGAGACTGTCAGGCTACGACGAATCGAATATATGCTGTACATCACGGAGTCGGGCGCCGTATCTCTCTATGGCCCTCCCAGAAAGCGACGGATTGCAAGACTGCCATCGAGTTTTCCCGGTCGCGTTGATGATCTAATATTTCCAGATCACTCAGAAAGCGACGTGTGCAGCCTAGCACAAAACACGGCACAGGAAAAGATGCAGATTTCGGACAAACGGGCAGTGGAGCTGCTGCTTTTGATGGCCCGCCTTCATGCTGCCTCTGGACCTGACGAAGTGGCAAACGTCACAGTCGACGAAAAACTGATGGCAACAATGGCGGGATCGCTCGGAAAGCATGCGAGGACGGGCACGGCCATATCGGAACAGACCGCAGATGTGGCGATAACTCGCCAGTGGAAGCTTGGCTGGCACTGGCGGACAACGCTGGCAGACTTCCGTCCTTTGACCGAGCATAGGACTAGTCTCAATTACACCACGCAGATCCTGGGAATGACTGCGCTCCAATGGGGCAAAACTCTCTCACCGCCACTACTGAGACTCATTGGCATAGGCAAGATCGTTGCTCTAGCGGAGGCAATCCTTCACATTTCATCGACGATTGGGGAGTGTACAAGCTGCACAAATATCATCGGCGACCTGATCCGGATGGTATCCGAAGTCGACTACGAACGGAACTATGCTGTCCAGCTCTATTTTTTGCATGCCTCTGTTTTGACAGTTCCGCCGATGATCGACTTGAATGACAGTCACAGTACTGAGGTCCATCGTGATCCAGAGGTTGGATAGACCCGGCTAATTTAATCTGGAACCATCATACAGCAGAAGAACCAGACGAGGGAGAATCTCTCCTCCGCTTTAATTGACATGAGTGCTTATCAACAGCCGACCAAGGCTGCTCCAGTTTCGATTCTTATTGTATCAAATAGCAGTATGCGGTCAAGAAACCGGTAAGCAATGGTGGCTCAAAAGTCGGTATTCAATGCATAATTCAACACTCTCACTTGATTCATCATGTATTGCTTTGATGCGTGTGCTCTGGGGAAAAGGTCAATCTCGTGTGGGACCCCAGGAATGATTTCCAACTGCGTATCTATTCCGTGATTTCGGAGGTGGAGAGCGTATGCGATACCCTCATCTCGCAATGTGTCACAGCCGGCGACGGTGATGTGGACGGAGGGATGGTGCTCTGGGGGAACGGTATGGAGCACAGAGGCATAAGCATGCGAAGGTTGAGAGGCAACGTAGGTTTCTACTTACGAACCTTAGTGACGGAATTTTTTACCTCTTGCATCTATTTCTGTGAACTCACCCCAAAGCTTTTCCATGGTAGCAAGAGGCAGTTGTGCCTCTTTGCTTGTGCCAAATCTGATCGCCGAAGCTCCATTCGAACTGACGATGGGTGGATAAAGTGCCGGATGGCATGTCACAGGGACGACCAGGTTAACATGCTTGACGCGAGGGGTGGTATTTTCCATGGAATCTTTTAACGCCACTGCGGCGGCGAGGTTCCCTCCAGACGAGAAACCCCAGATTGCGATGCGCTTAAGGTCGATCTTGTATGTGGTTGCGTTGTCCACAGTCCAGTTGAGCGCGGTGTAACAGTCGTTCATTGGGTGTGGGAAAGGGTGCTCGGGAGCGAGTCGGTAATCGACGTTGACAACAACTGCGCGCAATTCGGATGCGAAGAACTTGGCCAGTTCTACTGCCTCGTTAGAGACACTGAGTTATTCATGGCGTGAATCTCACTCACCTTCGTCCATCTCGGGCAGGCCATGAGTCCACCCACCTCCATGATACATGATCAATGCAGGCCTCAGGCCAGAACGAATATACGGATTGAACGCCGCTGGATCGTATACACGGACTGAAAATTCCGTGTCGTTCTGGTATATGACCGGGATACTTTGTATCGAAATCGGAGTCGTTGGAAAGATGCGCTTCGACACGGGCTTCCTGGGCAGACGCAGATGGACGTCTCGAACTTTTTGACGCATTTCGTTATGGTCAGCAATATCACGAGGTGCGCCCATGTCTGTCAGTGGGCTTTTCATCAACTCCTATCCGTGATTAATATCGAGATCACAGCCCGTGGTCCTGTCGGCTCTCACCTCGAGGAAGTTTGCATCTCTGTGCTCAATGATGCTAGAGCGTGTGTCTCTTACATGTGAACCTTGCTCACTCTCTGAGCTCTCCTCACCGCGATTCATTAAGAGCTCTGTCGACTTTAGCTGCGATAACGTGGAGGCAGGCATCTTGCGGACACAAAAGTATGCAGCGATGGAGTTTAAACTTGGATTTTCACAACCAAAACATCGAAATACGCCCATGGAATAGCGTCGACTGGGAACCTTTGAGACAACTACCAAGGGTATCTACGTATGCTATGACACTCCAGGAGAAGTCTGCACCATTCCTTTCAGAGCGACTTTGTACCTTCCCGAGCCTTCTGCCATCGGAGCACAATTTCAGATACATGCTTGCCGCGCTAATAATGCATCGGAGGCATTCTCGGAAGCAAACCTGGTAGGAACCGTTTCTTCACCAATCAGAGATGCCAGCCGCAAATTCGATCCACATGGAGCCCTCGCATCCTTGCTTAACTTTCTCTGAGTCGTTGCTTGGAATCTGCAAACAGACCGACATATTCCTCGGCCACTGAAATAGCGGGAACCTTTTACATTTCTTTCTAGTCATTGGTAGCCTGTGAACTCCGCTAAGATCATAAGCCACCTTGCGGGTTAATCATAGCACACGTTGCGCAATCCTCCAAGCTCACAAGGCACATGCCAGAAAATCGAACAGCCGAGACCCTTTCCACAGTATATGCAAGAAGGCAATTCTGTGTCACGGGTACATTCTCAGTCCCCAGACGGGCCATCATCGAAGTGTCTCTGCTTCCTATAGGATCCCTGTGTAGGTAGGTACAGCCAAATCTGAAGGAGGACTTACCATCAAAGCTAAATGTTGTCAACATCCCTTGCTAGGGCGTCACCTTTGAGACTTTTAAGAAGATATGAGCACTGGACATGCATCTCCGTATCATCAAACTAAAGGAACTTATTCTGACAGTAGATATCCTTTGTCAACCTCGGTCGAAAATGCTTTCTAGTACTTGTATCAGATCCGGTGGCCGTATTCATTCTAGTGCCCCATGAGTTTTTCGACAAAGAACAACATCTCTATTCTCCTATTTTTCTCCAGGTGCACACGACTCGGCAAGCCCTATCATCATCTCTCCCAGAGTAGTTCCGACAAGCTGTGACGGTTGGTAGGTCAATGCCACCCAGCATGCTATGAGCCGTCAGAATGTATGCCAATCGCCTCGAAACTGTTATATACTACAATAGTATTCCCTTCTTCTCGTCAAGCCGCTGGAACCAATGTTAGATCTTGAACGTCCATGTGGTCAGAAACATATAGGAGTAGGAGAAACAGGGCGGAAGGGACGTGAAAGGTACACCGTGGAATAATGTTGAAACGAGATACAACGTGTTAGACTCAAGGATGAAGTTTTGAAGTATCATAATGCATAGCACTAGGACTTGTTGGCAGACTGTGAAAGCTTTACGGTGAGTCCAGTATGTGAGAGAGAGAGGAAGTGAAAGGAGGGTATACTATATCGCCAACTTGGTACTCACAACTGTGGGATGCAAACAACTGTCTAGTGGAAAGGTAGCTTTCCTTTGCTTTGTTTTTGGATTGAAGTATTGTTATCGAATTATATTCATGATCGTTTCAATCTATACGTATGGAGAGAATTTCGGCTAGTTTTTCAACCCCTGTACATGTGTAGATGAGGCTTCATTGACCACCCAATCACAAGGATCAGCTATAATTTGGGGGATGCATATCCAGGAGGCTCGTCACAACCTTCCACTATGTATCACAAACAGTCTCGTTCGGTAGAGGCAACATAGCCAAACAAACTAGCTAGCACTCAGATTGGTTTGCGTTCTTTTCCGGTGCCTCAGGTGCAACAACCCTTGGCCCTGCGGTCTTGTAGTCTACACCCTTTTGTTAGTATCTTCATATCATGATTTTCTCCTTTCAAGTAACTCACTTTTCCACTTGCGTTTTGGCAGCTTAGAAGCATACAACTCATCTATTTCCGCCAGAGTTCTATTAGCCGTCTCAGGACTGCAAGAACTAGTCAGACTTCAATCTCTTGAAAGACAAACGATGACGTGCTTACTAGTAAAAGTAGGTCCAGATGATCGTTAGTAACATGAAACCGGCAAAGATCAAGAATGCTTTCGCCCCCAAGTTACCCCTAAATCATATCAACGGACTGTGTCAAATCTTATTATGTCAATAGTGGGAAACTCACGCGTTCGGACTGGTTATTTGCGGCGCAGCGAACGAGCTTATGACCGCAGTGCTGTAAGCCCATATCAGCGACCAACTCTGTGCCGGTTCACGTAGAGCCGCTGTAGGAATCTCGGTAGGGGCCAAATAGCAGCTACTACAGAGTCAACATCTCACGTCAGGAATAGTAGAGGTTCTCGGCTTACAGCGATTGAAAAGAGAGTGCATCAACGAAAAAGAAGATAATACAGAGTGAGGCCAAAGCCAGACTCTGTGCATTAGTGGTTAGACCGGCACATGCTATTCCGCCCAAAGCGATGTCGAGAAGGAAGAGGATGATGAAGCAGTAGAGTGCGACCGGTCGCCGACCGATTTTGTCAACCAAGGGAGGGCCAATAATGGTGCCAATTAGTTGTGCCATGTAGATAATGACCGTAATCTTAAATGGATCGGCGACTCCGGCTTGGATGAGGCTCACAGTAGAATATGTGGATATGAGGATCTGGCCACTCGATTGTGACGTACAGTAAAGTGCTCCAGAGGACAAAGTTCTTTCGAGATGTGGCGGTTTCAGGATATCCCAGACGCTTCTCGTGGCTCGCTCGTCTTGTTCGGTTTTGAGAGCATCCAAGGCAGCTGTGATCTCGGCCTCCACCATTGTCATGTTTTCCGCACGTAAAGACGTCAGAACAGCTCTCGCCTCATCGATTCGTCCTTTACTGATCAGCCATATTGGGGATTCGGGGACGAAAAGAGTCAAAACGAATAGCAGCGCAGGGACAGCTGCTTGAATCGCCAGCGGAATGACATACTGGCGGTGATCGTCGATCTTTTCGGCCGCCCATACAACAACCGTAGCAAGGAGAGCGGATGCAGCAAAACCTGCAACGGTGAATCCCACGGCTCGAGCTCTGACATGAGCAGGGACGAGGTCTGATTGATATATGGTGGTGATGTTGGTCAGTATGCCCATACCAAGGTCTGACACAAAATTAGAATTCTTTCAACAGTCACGTAGAATCGGGGTCTCACAATTCCAGAACCTCCCGAAAACAAAGGCGGCCATATTGGGAGCAAAAAGCTGCAAAACGGAGCCGGGAATGCAGAGTATAGCGTAAGCCAGGAGAAGACTCCTCTTTCGTCCGATTCGTCTCTGAAGAGGAGTCGCACCAAACGCGCCGATAGCACCTCCGCAGATGGGAAGCGCCACGAGTAAATCCAGGTTTCTCGCCTTGCATGTAAGTTAGTAATGTAATCCAAAAACGCAGGTGATTTTTCCTTTTTTTACAGAAAAGACGTATGCTCCATCAAATCCAGGACCTTGATATTTGGCTACGAAATGTGGAAGCGATATGAGAGGAGAGATCAAAGCTCCATCATAGCCCCAAAGACCCTCTGCAAGACCGATAATAATTACTGGACACTCATATCAGCTCATCAGTGAAGGTCACAGAGATTTTGGGCTTATACTTACAATTTACGAGCACCAGCCAGTTCAACCATTTGTGATTGGGGGTCGGGCAGACCGGGAAATCAATGTTTGAATCTATGGTCTCTCGAACTTCAACAGAAGCCTTCGTCGTCGCCATTTTGCTTTCCAGGGCCGAAGTCAAGTGTGTGAAAAGCCGCTCTCGGGATCGCACTGGCCATTTGCAGATATTTATCCTCTGGCAATACCTTGGTCTGGTTGGGTTATCCGTACCAAGATCCGGATCCTAAGCATTTGAGTGGTGAAGAGGAATTCCCCCGCCGAGTTTGCCTGCTTTGAGTTAGCCTTCAATTATCCTCCCGAGCATGCCTCCGAGGATTCCTTCGAGTGCTCTTCGGTCATGGTGCTAACGTTTCTCTCTGACGTCTTGTATAGAGCGCAGAATGAGGAGAATGTGAAGTGTCGGTTCTCTTCTCGGATATCTGGGAAATGCATGAAGGTATATATTAGAAACGCTACTGCGTTCAAGAAATCCGGGAAATTAACACAGCGAGTCCTGAAGAATAAAGCCGCTCATTCTCACCCCCCAAGGAGATCTGGGCCGTGCGGTTAACGGCCCCCGTCATTCATTACCAATCCCCAATATCATCCTTCAGTGGTGGCAATGTCATCTTTATTCTCCTACACCACTGCAAGCATGGAGCCACGCTTTTCCCCCAGAGACTCAACACCTTGCAGTACGAAGAATGAAGTCATTGTTGGCGGTCTGAAAGTCTACGTCTACGGACTAGCCGAAGTGAAGCAGCAGGGTCACACCGAGCTTGCGATTCTGTATCTAGCTCATGGCCGAAATGGCACTTATCTTGATGTGGAAGACGTCGCGCATGAAATCCTTCATCAGTACCGAATAAATGGGCGAAATAAGAGAGCCGGCCTGATTGCTGTGGCTTTCAATATGAGAAATCACGGAGATCGCATCGTGCGTTGACATCTCTTGTGCGACCTGCCTGGAGTCTAATAGGCATTCAGATTAACCCCAAGGCGAATCTGACTTGGACTGATGGTAACGATATGCATGCGTATGAACGAAACCCCACTGTCGTGCTTTCGGAGAATTCGGCGGTTAGACTGACAAATGGGCACTGAATTCAGACAAGATATGCTCTCTTCCATGGCTGGCTGCGCTCATGACCTTGAGCTCTTGATCGACTATCTTCCGCTCTATCTCCCTAGTTATTTTGAAAACTTCTACAACGTCGTGTCTGGTATCTCCCTCGGCGCGCATATTTCGTGGAG